GTCCTCTTCCACGTCCGACTCCTCTCTCTCTTTGTCCTCCTCTTACTCTGACTCTCATTGCCTCCATGCTTGCAAAGTTCTCAAAATGGCTTACCTGAGGCCTATTTGTAGTGCTAAGGCTCAGACCGATTGGTGTTCTGTTTTCTGTGCAAGTGTTTTCAGGTGTGTATGTAAGTGCCTACAATTGCCAGATGAGTTTTGCATTTTGAACAGAGTGTTTTCCCAATGATAACAGGTGATTTCGTTTTTGAACAAAGTGTCTAATGTAAGAAAACGTGTGTAGTGTTTCGCAATAAGTGTGTTACAGAATTGCAAACAAAGTGCAAAGTTGACAATGTGTTTAAGCTATGGTTACACTGTGTTTAAGGTATGCTACAAGAAGTTTAGGTATTGAGGCTTTGGTCTAAGCATTCGGTTTTAGTGTGTAAGCAATGGGCAAAAACTGTAATAACAGATAATAAAATAACTATAATTAAAAATAGATATAAAAAACTATTATATTGTGTATATATATACACTGTATATATATGATAAAATAACAATCATGCGTTGGTGATGATACTGGTGTTTCAGATGTTTTATCCTAATTTTAATAATTAAATGCAATACATTCATCTTAAGCATTTCATCTTATCCTTATGTTCACCGGCATTTTTGCTTTGTTTGATTATTGTTTGCTTTTGTTATTAATCTGAGAGTGTGATGCTAATCCAGATCTGAGGACAGAAGACCTGCTGAGACAAAACCACATGAGAAGCCAGAAAACAGAGAGTTTGTTTGTGTGTGTGTGTGTGTGTGTGTGTGTGAGAGAGAGAGAGAGAGAGTCTGTCTGTCTGTCTGTCTGTCTGTGCGTGTGCGTGTGCGTGTGCGAGTGCGAGTGCGTGTGCCTGTGTCTGTCTGTGTCTGTGACTGTGTCTGTGTGTGTGAGTGTGTGTCTGTGTCTGTGTGTCTGTGTCTGTGTGTGTGTGTCTGTGTCTGCGTGTCTGCGTGTCTGTGTGTGTCAAGGCTGAATGTAATTGATGTGTAAAGTGAGAACAGAGGCTTCACAGCAGGACTGGGTGGGGGTGATGATGATGTCATTGCAGGTGCTCAGAGACCAGCAGAGTTTCTGCATTAGCGTTTGAATGGAGCAGATTATCAGCGCAGGTTAGAGGTGAGACAGATTCACTCGCTGCACTCATGCGATTCGACGTGCTGGAATGAGTCTGTAATGAGCTTCATCATCCCACCAGACAAAATTCACAAACACTCCGAGTCTGTCTGTCTTCAGTTAGTGAATCACAGACAGAGAAACTATTAAAGAGAGAAAACATGCACACGTACTTTCTACTACTCATATTCCTTTGAAATCTATTCTGTTTGACAATTATTTATCTTGGCAGCTGTATATGAGTGAATTTCCTGAAGAAATGTCCAGGTCAAAGATTTATCGAAATCAATAGAGTAAAATAATTATAAATAAAACGTAAGATTTTGTGTTTTAAAAAATGAAGCCTACACTGAAACAAGTTGGTGTAGGAACTATTTTCATTTAGAAATTTATAGTAAATGTCACAATTAATTACAAACAAACGGGAAGTAACACACATTAAACAGGAAAAATATATATCTATAAATTAGGATTTTTGGGGGGAGATTTTTAGATTTTTATGAGAAACTTTTCCAGGCAGACAAGGTTTTGCCCTATCTAGCTAAATAATAATTGTAATAATTATTAATTTATTAATAATTTAAAGGGAATAATTTTAAAGTAGTTTTATCCACAAACTTAAGTTACACCATGCAGTGTTTTTTATTATTATTTATGCTATTATAGTATATATTATTTTGAATAAGCTTTTGTTTTGTTTTTTGTTTTTTTCATTTTAATTTTAGTTGAAGTTTTAGTAATTTACGTGCTTTTGTCATTTTATTAGTTTTAATTTATATTTCTGTTTAGCTTTAATTTAATTTCAATTTTAGTTTTAGTTTTTATTAGTACTTTAACTTAAGATAATTTTATATCCGGTAGCTGACAAGTTTTCATCTATTATGTTATTTTATTTCAGCTTTATTTCAAATTTAATAATAGTTAATATTATAATAATTGTTATTATTTAGTTAATTTATCCTTAAAACACGACTGTTTCACCAGTGTTTATTTATTTATTTTTTTAGTAGTATTTATATATTATTACAGTGTTTAGAAATATTTTGAATGTAGCTTTAATATTCAGATTTTTAGTTCTCATTGTAATTTTGGTTGAAGTTTTAGTATTCTTGTTATGTGGTTTTGTCGTGTTTTTTTCTATTTTTATTTTATTCTATTTTTATTCTACTTTTATTCTAATTAGCTTTAATTTATTTTTATTTCACTTTTAGTAATTTCATAATTTCTCTAATGTTTCAACTCACTATAGTTTTCATTAGGTTTTTCATTTAATATTTTTATTTTATTTTAGCTTTATTTCAGTAAACAAAATACTTTTTGATCATTTTATTTTCTAATTTATTTAACTATAACACACACACTCACACACACTCACACTCACACACACACTCTCTCTCACACACACACACACACACACTCACACTCACACACACACACACACACACACACACACAGACAGTTCAGTTAGAAGATCAAAAATTGAGCCAAAGAAAGTTTTCATTTGAAGCACTTTGGTAAACAAGCCCAGTCTGCAGGTGGAGAGTATTGAGCGTTTGGGGAGATGAGGGGATATCATCTGCTTATGCTATAGTCTGTGAGGACGCTCTCTTTCTCTCAGCTCATATTTGCAGTTGCACATAAATCAATATTGCTGCTTTCATCTGCCTCCTCAGGACTCTGCAAACACACACACACACACACACACACATACACACACACATACACACACTCACTCACAGAGAGAGAGCTAGAAGAGATCAAGGCATTCATCTCTCACACGTCTCACATGATTTAGATTTCTGTTCTCTGATGGAGTGTGTCAGGATGCCATTAGTGGCCACACATGTAATATTAATATATGTCAGGAGTTTCCAACTGAAGCACTCTTGCTGTTCATGTAGTACAAAGTCAGCGAGATATTCTTTTGGAAACTGCCTGAGGCTTCAGTTACTGATAAAATCCCAGAAAACAAAAGATGAAACCTCATGTAGATTAAACGAGCTTCAGTTATTGACTGAGCTGACGGAGGCCGAGCGGGTCAGCAGAAACCGCTGGCTGTTTTCAGGAGTCCTGTAGAGTCCCTCATCAGCGTGTGTGGAGATGCAGGAGATGGTCTTCTTCTTCTTCTAGTTCTGAGCATCAGAGGCGATCACAGAACACCAGCTGGGTTCAGATGAAAGATGCCAACAGAGCAGCGAGGCTCCATGAGCTGACCATCTGAACATTTACTGAAGAAACTATGAGTGAGTTTGACTGTGAAAAACCCACCGCACTCACTCATGCTAGAGTCATGTGGCTGCCGAGGTGTTCCTATACAGTCGCTAAGATGTTTTATGTTGTTATTTGGCCATTACTATGGTATTTTGAGTAGTTACTAGGATGTTGCTATGTGGTTGCTATGGTATTTTGAGGGGTTACTAGGGTGTTGCTTTTCTGAGTAGTTACTAGGATGTTGCTATGTGGTTGCTATGGTATTTTGAGTGGTTACTAGGATGTTGCTTTTTTGAGTAGTTACTAGGATGTTGCTATGTGGTTGCTATGGAATTTTGAGTGGTTACTACGGTGTTGCTATGTGGTCACGTTGGTGCTTTGAGTGGTTATTTCGCCATTACTATTGTGTTTTGAGTGGTTACTAGGGTGTTGCTATGTGGTTGTTTTGGTATTTTGAGTGGTTACTAGGGTATTACTATGTGGTCACTGTGGTGCTTTGAGTGGTTATTTGGCCATTACTGTTTTGTTTTGAGTGGTTACTAGGGTGTTGCTTTTTTGAGTAGTTACTAGGATGTTGCTATGTGGTTGCTATGGTATTTTGAGTGGTTACTAGGGTGTTGCTATGTGGTCACTTTGGTGCTTTGAGTGGTTATTTGGCCATTACTATTGTGTTTTGAGTGGTTACTAGGGTTTTGCTATGTGGTTGTTTTGGTATTTTGAGTGGTTACTAGGGTGTTGCTATGTGGTCACTGTGGTGCTTTGAGTGGTTATTTGGCCATTACTATTGTGTTTTGAGTGGTTACTAGGGTGTTGCTATGTGGTTGTTTTGGTCAAGTCAAGTCACCTTTATTTATATAGCGCTTTTAACAATACAAATTGTGTCAAAGCAACTGTACAGCATTAATTAGGAAAATATTGTGTCAAATATTTTGGTATTTTGATTGGTTAATAGGGTGTTGCTATGTGGTTGTTATTTGTTGTTTCTAGGGTGTTGCTATGTGGTTGTTTTGAGTGGTTTCTAGGGTGTTGCAATGTGGTTGTTGTTTTTTTTCTTTTAACAACAATGTATTTGTCATACATTGTCACACAGGCTTAAACAATATTTAAATTTTTCACAGTGTGGTTGTTTTGGTGTTTTGAGTGGTTACTATGGTGTTGCTAAGCAGTTGATTTAAATGGTTTCTAGGGTGTTGCTGTGTGGTTGTTTTGAGTGATAAACTAGGGTGTTGCTATGTGGTTGATATGAGTGGTTTCTAGGGTGTTGCTGTGTGGCTGTTTTGATATTTTGAGTGGTTAGTAGGGTGTTGCTTTGTGGTCACTTTGGTGCTTTGAGTAGTTATTTGGCCATTACTATGGTGTTTTGAGTAGTTACTAAGGTGTTGCTATGTGGTTGTTATGGCATTTTAGTGGTTACTAGGCTGTCGTTGTAGTCTTTTGAGTGGTTATTAAGGTGGTGCTTTGTGGTTGCTAAGGTGTTTTAGTAGTTATAGGCTGTTGTTGTGGTGTTTTGTGTGGTTACTAGGGTGTTTCTATGTGGTCAATTTGGTGTTTTGAGTAGTTATTTGGCCATTACTATGGTGTTTTGAGTAGTTACTAAGGTGTTGCTATGTGGTTGTTTTGGCATTTTAGTGGTTACTAGGCTGTCGTTGTAGTCTTTTGAGTGGTTATTAAGGTGATGCTTTGTGGTTGCTAAGGTGTTTTAGTAG